AAAGTCCAGGGCCTTTCCCATTAATAACTTCTGTTTATTGAACTTCTCAAAAACGTGCCAGTGAACCTATGGAGACAGAATACTAATGCATGGCTGTGGCTGCCAGGGGCCAGGAGGGGCTGCTGATAAGCACAGGGTCTCTTTCTGAAGTTAGGAAACTGTTCTGAAGTTGTTTGTTGTGATGGTCACACAACTCTGAATATAGTAAAAACCACTTAAGTTTGCACTTTAAATAGGTGAATTGCATGGTCTGCAAATTACAAGGCGGTTTTAAAAATTCTCCAGGCACTACAGCCACCTAATTCCTTCAATGACATTTTCTAAAGCCAGCCTTTTTGCCACTGTCCCTACACCACAGCAACAAAAGGACTCTCTGTGGAGTGGAAACGCAGCTCAGCAACGGGACGTGGAGGTGGGCACATCCAGGGAGGATGGACCAGCATCTATTCTCACCCCTTCTCCGGAGGTCCTGGCCAGCCTGTCCTGGGCCCCTGCAGGAGAGGTGTCCCCACCCCACAGTGGAGAGGAGGCTCCGTGCAAGACTACACAGTCAGCTGTTCCCTGGTGCATTCTGGAAACAGCTGGTACCTTCCTGTTTTCCACCTCCAGGTGAGGTACTGCTCCCCAGGAGGCTGTTACTAAGCCTGGGATTCCAATTAGTTTGAGTGCCTGGCTCCCTCCCCAACCTGATGTGTCACAGGACTACGACCTTATTTGGGAGTCCCAGGAGGAAGCCATTCAGGAGTGGCTCCCTGGGTCCAAAGCCTGGTCCATTGAGGACATTCGACTTACAAAGAGAGGCTCCTGCCCAGACAGGCCACATGGCTACGGTGACAGGGACAAGGCATAGTGCAGACTCCCCACTGTTCTAGGCACAGGGTAAAGCTGGATGAGGGAAGCGAGGATACAATCCTCGTTGAGCAGCCAGAGCAGCTTCTTGGGAGTCAGTGTGAAGGAGGCCTAGGGTGCCCATTCCCTCATGAAGGTTCTGTAGTAAAGGAACAGGTGTGGCCATGGGGCCAGAACATCTGAGTCCCAGTCTTGGTGGCCACTGTTTATGAGGTCCTCAGCAAGGCACACAACCTCCGAGCCCCTCAGCCACATCTATAAAATGGGGCTAATCTTCCCTGCCACCCCTCCCCCCTGCCACCACGCCCCTGTTCATTTGATCCCAGGGCGATTGTGGATCAAATGATCTCAGGGCTGTGGATTCTGTTCAGGTGTAACAGTGGCCTGTAGTAAGAAGAGCAACCTGATTCTGTTAGGAATGTATTGACTTACCTAAGTGAAAAATCCAGGGAGCAGAAACCAGGCATGGCTACATTCAGAAGATCAACAAAGCCACAAAGACCCTGTTTTTCTGTAGATCAGCTCTCCTTTCCCACACTCAAGACAGGCCCTGCTTTTATGGCTGCAAGGTGGCTGCAGCAGCCCAAGCCCCTATTCCCTAGACTCCAAGGCCAGGGGTTAAAGCAGCCTTGCCTGCCTCCAGCCGAACTCGTCCTATATTCCTGGCTCCAGCTCACAGGGACTGGAGCCTGGCTGCATGGAGTCTAGTACCCCACTGGCTGTGGTCAGGGGACTTTTGATAGTGAGCGAGAGGTCAGGCAGTGGTTTCTGAGGGGAAGACAAGCCAAAGCCAGGAGGGACAGCAGCTCCCCTCTCCTGTCTCCACAGGGTTCAAAAGGGTGCAGAGTGAGAGGCCTTCTCTGGGCCACAGGCAGCCTCGGCCCTAGTCCTTTCAACTTTCAGGTCAGGCCACATGCAGCAAGGCTTGGGCCACCCCAAACTAGGAGCACCCAGGCATTCCTGTCTGCAGGTCCTCCCATCTGCTGTCCCCGAGACCTAGGCCCCTCGTCTCCATGTCAGTGCGGCCAAACTGCGTGACCTGCACTGTTCACGTCATGACCAGCCATTAGGTCAACCCCACCTGGTGGTCCTGCCTGGTGGTCCTGGGAAGACGGGGCATCTCCTCAGGTCTGGCAGGAACCTGAATGGCAACTGCCAATTACAGTGGATAAAGGCTGTGCTCTAGGTTTGAGCTTCCAACCAGCTGCACATAAACAGGGATTCTCTGAAACTGGCATAAAAGCAAACCCAGGAACTATGCAAAGCATTAGGGAAGGACATAAAAAGAGACAGTGACTATAAAGACTATATGGTCAGAACCATAAGACAATCCCCTAAGTCACGGCGTCTAGACTCCTCCAGAATCTAGGAGGCAGGATTCCAAAGTAATGCTGTCAAGGGCAGAGTTATAACTATCTTCCCAGATCATTCTTCAGGTTGTAACTTACCCCTAATAAGCCTTTTTGCCTTAAAGTCCTTTTCTCGTAACATTGCTTAGCATCTTTTCCCCCACCTTTGCCCATCCCTTTGCATTCTTAGGTATGTAACTTTTGAAAATAGCTTATTGCTAGAATTCTTTTAATTGAAACTTAAGTTTCTGCATTTTAGCTGGTTAGTCTATTTACATTTATTGCACTTCTTGATTTTATTTTTACCATCTTACTTTGTGTTTTCCATTTACCTTTTTCTTTGCTTTTTACCCTCTCCTCTCTTCTGCCTTGTTAAACGGATCATGCCTTCTCTACTCCCCTGCTCAGCTACTGCTTTGCAAGTTACACTCCATGACACCTTTTGAGCTTACCCTGACATTTTAAACACAACTATGTAACTTGAAATACCTAGGTCATCAGCATTTCTAGCTTCCTCATTCACAGTGAAAGGACCTCCAGGCGCTGCCTCCCCGACCTTGTAGCCCAGGATTCCAGATCCACTGGTCTTACCAGTGCTCATTTACACTACCTGCTTACCAACTTTTACAGCTGTCCTTTCGGCTGTTTTCTTCCTAAATATATTCTCCATCTTTTGGAAAAGGGATGTGAATAATAAACTTCGTCAAGTTGTCTTCTGAATGAGTCTGGCCCAATATTTTCTCAGCATTTAAAAGATTTGGTTCCATAATCTACTGTTGCTGTTGAAAATTTGTGCTTAATGATTGCTCCTTTAGAGGAAATCTATCATTCCTGTATTAATGACCTCCGATCATATGCTCTGCAGTTTTCACTACAAATTAATCTGGGAATGGATTTATTTTCATTTATCTGACTTGGGATTTCTTGGAGTGTCTGATTCTGAGGATGAGTCAATTCTGGACAATTATCGTTCTTCCTTCATTGTCTATCTATTCTCTCCACTGTTAGAACTTCCTTTAGAAACCCCATGCCCTCCTTTTTCTCCTCCACATCTCTTTCCTATTTCTCATCTACTTCTGAACAATTCCTTCAGCTATATCCTCAGGTCATTAATTCACCCCCTAGCTGTCTAATATTACTAAGCAGCTGTTCTGTTTTTTAGGTCTAAGAGCTTTAATTCCAGTTGTGTTGAATTTCTAGAAATTCTAGCTGGTTAAAAAAAAAAATTGCCTATTCCTCCATAATAGTTTTGGGTTTTTTCCCCCTGATCACATTATATCTTCTATCATCTTATTAACCTGGTCTTGGGACTTGTATACCTATTGTTCCTACAGTCACATGGTTTTTTTCCTTGTATTTTTATAATGTACAATTGTGAACTGTGTGGGAATCACAGGCAGCTGGGTTGGGGTTATCTTCCATGAGTTCCTAGATCACAAATTCTTGACAGGTTCAAGCTTAGGGCTTTGATTTTTTGAGTCCAGAAAGTAACACACTTATTTTCTCCCCCAGAGCAGTGGGATTATTTCCTAGCCCTGTTTCACTGGGGTTCCTGGGGATTTCCAGAGATTTTGCAAGGAGCCAGTCCTCGGGTTGAATCACAGGCCACAGCACATGATTCTGACTCAGTGGTCTGACCACACTTAACTCTGATGGAGGTCCCTAAGAGAAGCATGGGAGCGGTGATCCAGAAAGAGTGGGCAGCCAGCATAGGTGGGCAGCAGGTGGACACAAGACTGCCAGCTGCCCACAGTGGCACTATTCAAATTGATCCCTTAGAACAGGCTGTCCTGAATATCCCCAACAGGTCTGTAATCAACCTGACATTACAAATCAAATGGCATTCACTGGGTACTTTTGGGGTGCAAAGGCAAAGCTCTCTGATAGATTCCTCTGGGATACTGAGCACACCTTTTCTCCAGACATTATACACCCCCCACCCCAAAATACTCAGCCCAGTAGAATTCCCTCATCCACCAGGGCTGGATCCCCAGAGGCCTCATGCTGAGGCAGGGAGACAAGATAAGCACTGGACCCATGAGCATTCTCCTTTCTGAGACACACAGAAGGCATCTTGATGTGAACTGCAAAGGAAAGCAGGCACAGCAGTAAGACCACCCCCACCACACCCACTCCAGGCCTCTCCTGGACGCTCCCATCCATTTAACATCCTCTGCTGAGCCTTCCGTTCCAGCCCTGTAACTGCGCCATCACCTGCCAGTCAGACGTAGGTATCAGTTTCCTCCTAGACTGCACTGGGAGGGCAGCAGCCCCTGCCACACCTCCAGCCCCTAGAACAGTACCTGACGAGTAGCTGCTCTGTTAAATGGATGAGTGCACATCCACAGTGGTGGGGCACATAGCGTGTCATGGTTTCTAAAAGGCTTTATGCAGTCGGGGGACTGAGTCAGGAAGGGCATTTATAGACAGAGGGACCATGCAAGTCCTTGCAGAAGTCCCAACAGGTCAATTTGATGAGGGAGAGCACAGCGAACAGCCAGCTGGGAAGACCTGCAGCCCCACCTGTTCTCACCCCACTGTTTTACAGAGAATGGCCTGGAACAGTGAATCACTCGTCTCAGCAAGGTACACACACTCAGTCCTGTCTCCACAAACCCCACAAGCAGTTTTGTAGTTGACGCTTCTGGATGTCAGCTTTCAGGTGTGTTTCCTGTGCACCTTGTGCCAGAACAGGCACCAGGAAAGATCCCCCACCCCACCCCAGGTGAGGAAAAGCAAACAAACTCATAAGCCTTCATGAAAATACTTCCTGGTTTTTTCTTCCTGAGTCAAAACACAAACTTTTTCAAGGAACTGACATAAAAAGTTTTATTTTAATCATTTAACTTGTGCAGGATTTACTTTAAAGAGACTTTGAAATGCTTTAAACTAAAATCTGTTTCCCTTTAAACAGATTAGGAAACAGAATTCAACTTGGCAGAAGCTTATTCTGACATCACACAGATAATGGGAGGTGGTTGCGTTGCACAAGTAGGACCACATACTCTGGATTTAGGTAACAATAATTTAAAGGACAGAAAAGAGTCCAATATTACAGAAACTTTTAACTTGACTATTTCACCATTTAGACAATAAATGATGAAGAAAATGGACAAAAGGACAGGCCAGTGATCAGCCAACATGAGACAATATGTTAACAAATGTGGTCAAAGGTCATTATAGCATGCATGACCTTCTGTGTAATATCCTGGCTTTTTGGGGGAAAACAAAGGCAGACTGATTCAAACTAGCCCTACTAAATGTACCTATTACTGTATACTTCCTTCTGAAATTAGTATTTGAATGGAGTATGTATCAATAGCTCAGCACTAGTTTTCTACTTAAGCTCAAGAATTCACAAGGAGACACTCAGGTTTAGGCTAGAAATTGCACTGAACAATATCTACTTAATTATTAACTGCAAGATATAATACTGGGCAATTATTTCAAAGAATGAACTATAGATGCAATATAAAAGGATATATATAGTAAAAAAAATTTCTAATTTAAAAAGAATGTTGTAAATATAAATGGATTAGGTGAACAGTACCTACTTACACACAAATTAAAACAAAATCAGAACAAATGACTTTTCAGGAGACCCAACTTCAGACCTAGTTTTACCACTTAACAAGGAACAAAATCTCAGGTGGGTTGTTTTGTTCAAGGATGATTTGAAAATCAATTTACAATACTATCGTAGATCCCAGCTAAGATCTAATGATCTTTCACACTTTGAAGTGGGGTAAAACACAATTTGAGCAATAAAATGACACTGTCCAACACACACACCCAAGTTTCCAGCAGTCAGCCCAGGCCACTTCACTTTCTAACGATTTAGGTCAGAAGCTCCTTTCCCCTCTCTAATCCCAAAACACAGACTTTGGACTACAGAATGCAAAGCACAACCTGTCTTCCACCTGGCACCAATTGGCTGATACCTTTGCATGCCCAGGGCTGACTTAACAGTTCATTAAAAAGCACTTTAATTCATTAAAGAAAATAAAGAATACAAATAACACGCTTAGGTTACACAAGTTTAACTTATTTTGGTCACCTAGTAAATTTTAAACTGGTTCCCATTCGTGGTCAATAGAATACTCTGCATTTGGTATAGACACCAACAAAGTTAAGTCAGGCCTCTACCTTAACAGTACAAACTACATTTATTTGTGTGTAAAGTGCCAGTTTTATATACAAATCAAGAAGTAAACTTTAATAGCTGCTTTGGAACAACAAGGCTGACGTCCTCCACCAGCCCTGTGGTAATAACTGACAGTTTAATCCTGCTGGACAAGACTGAGTCGCCCCACTTTGACACCAAGATTGCTGCTGCTAAGAGCCATGGTAAAGTCATGTGCAGCCAGCCTGTTTGCCAAAACAAAGCACAGGCAAGATCTTTCCCAGGAATCCCAGTAGCTTTTGTCTACGCTTTCATTCTAGGTAAGATCACTAGCATCATTAATAAACAAGATTGGTTTTGAGGTAGCTACACGGCTTAAAGATGCCATTAACAAACATTAGGACAATGCATGGTGTAGCTGGTCAATACACTTCAAGTAGCTGATTTTTTTCTTTTGATGAGAAGGAAAATAAAAAATCAGCAAAGAGCGCATCTTCAGTTCACTTAGAAGTCAGCATCCAAGGTAAAAGAATTCTCTGTTGGGCTCGACATCACTCCCATCCTCTGATACTCGCCTACTCTCTTCTCAAAGAAGTTAGTCTTCCCTTCCAGTGAGATATTCTCCATAAAGTCAAACGGATTTTCTACTCTGAAAACCTGAAAAGGTTCACAGCAAAATTTAAATACAGAACACCAGTTTCAAAAGACCCAGCAGGCTATAAACAATACTTTACCTTGCTAAAACCCAGCTCCAGCATAAGTCTGTCTGCCACGAATTCAATGTACTGATTCATTAAGGTACAATTCATCCCAATGAGCTTTACTGGCAAGGCCTCTGTGAGGAACTCCTACAGACCAAACAGAGCATCTCAATAAAATGGAAGCATAAATATGTCTTCTAGCAAACACATGAGACCCTTCTCCACACCCACCTGTTCTATCCTAACAGCATTGATGATGATTTCTTTCACTCTCTGCTCCGAAGGTTTGTGCACCAGGTGTTTGAACATCAGGCAGGCAAAGTCACAGTGTAAACCCTAGAAGGAACGGAAGGTCTAAGATCACTATAACGTGGAGCAGGAAACGGCCTTATCTCTGCATTCTCCTTTTGCATCTTGCTCAGCCATACTAAAAGCACTTCAGTTGTCAAAAGGAAGATGATTCAACTGCTGTCTACTCTGCTTATGTCACCAAGGCAGCCTCAGCACCACCCACCCAAGGCCCGCAGTGCTGCCCACCTAGCTAATAAGAGCAGGCCAGGTCTGGTCCTCCCCATGCTGAGTGGTGGGCAAAGGACAGGGCAGAATGTCTGCTCAAAGGACTTTCTACAGCGGGGAGCTCTAATTTCCTACTATTCCCTGCAGGAAAGGCAAAACTCAGTGGCTAGGCTAGTTAGTTTTTAGACTTACAACTTAATGCTCAGGAAATCAGTAATGCAATTTCAAGTGTATCAAGTCTGCAAGTTTTAGTGCCAAGTAATCCTGATCTTCTTATACAGGAAGATCTTCCTATAAGGGGACATCAACTGTGTTCAAAATATGGCAGCATTCATACTCTGCACCCTTCAAATGTGACCTAAACTGGAATACCAGGGCAAAGTCACCTTCCTTCTCACAGCTTACTCCAAGTGCATTCAAAGACATACACTGGACTAGAATGAACTCTCATCTCATCAGGGTGCTTACCAACCGTGAAGTGCAGTGCGTTCACACAGAATATCAGGCAAAAACAAAACATCCCATCATACATACACATAAATGTGATACACTGAGAATATAAGTAATTTCTGCAAATTATTTTAAGTATTTCATTCTCTGCCAAGTACATAGGTGGTTGAATTCACATGTTAAACATGGATACATAGCAATCTGCTCTTTTGGGTTCCCTTCGGTGAATACGGAAGTTGTAGGTGTTTGGGGTACAGATTAGCCTGCTGCACGACAGGCTTGCATTACACTCACCTCATCTCTGCTAATAAGTTCATTGGAAAATGTGAGACCAGGCATGAGTCCTCGTTTCTTGAGCCAGAATATCGATGCAAAAGAACCAGAAAAGAAGATTCCTTCCACCGCGGCAAAGGCTACCACACGTTCTCCTATTTAAGAGTTAACACCAAAATATTCCTAGTGACCGAGTGTTCGTATTCATAGGAAAGGCCAGCAAACCAGGAAACTCACTTAGAAAATGAAGCTCAGGTGTTAGGGCCAAAGGTATCCTTACCATAGGTAGCCTCTTTGTCGCCAATCCAACGCAAGGCCCAGTCTGACTTTTTCTTTACACAAGGCATCGTCTCAATGGCATTGAAGAGAAATTCCCTAGTAGGCACACAGGGCATCAGCAATCACAGCAAAGACCTCCTGTCACATGCTTTTAAATAAGCACACTGGGACCATGGTCCAACAGGGACTCAAACAGGAACATTTACTAGTTTACTTTTCTCCACTGTTCTTAAAATCTCAATAATCATTTGGTTTTTAATACAAAATTAGGTATTTTTTAAATTCATATGGAGCCCCAAGATTTAACATTAAAATTCTGAGTCCCTTATATTAAGTGCATTTATTGACTTAATTATTTCAAGTGCAGGTCATGACAAGGTTCGCAGGCCCTATCTTCATTAAATTTGAAGAACCATAAAATCTTTACTGCTTGGACTGCTTAAACTATGCTATTATCTCTCTATATAGACACCCCACCTCACCCCACATCACTGGGCCCATTATCTGAGCCCCAATGTCATATGTATATAATAACAAAGCCAATAGACTGAACACCTAGCAAGACAGCTTCCTACTGTATTTCTACAATCCCATTGTCAATCCCAGGTCAGGAGAGCAAAGCGATCGGCCTGCACTTAACTGGGTTTTCTTAGTACCCTCCTCCCTGTGCCCAACTTAGGAGTCTCCAGATTCCCCAGCTTGTTCCCTCCCAGATGATCCTATTTTCTGAAGCCAAGGTAATGAGACCACTGGGCTCCTTTCACTCTCTGCCCATGTCCGTGTCCTCCTGTATTTGAGACCCGGGTATGCCTCTCCCTAGCTTCAGATCTTCCGGATCCTCCTCCTTCTGGTAAATGCCTCTTTTACCAGAAGTAAGCCAATCAATGCTCCTTTACCTTCTTTTCTCATCTCTGCCTACAAATCTTTTTACTCCCAGTTTCCTCAATCCTATGAGCCTTCAAGTTACCACTCATTTTTCCTTTTTCCAAGTAATCTGTAGCAGCCCACTCATCAGCTTTACCACTTCTGTTCCACACAAGGCTCCCATCCCAAAGCTACTTTAGTATCTAGACTATCCCAATAGCCCATTTCTAACTTTCCTGCCCCTCAGTCAATATTCAAATTGTAAAACAGGCCCCAAGCTACATCTTACTCTCTACTCTATTGCTGCCTAATATAAACTACCAAGGCTAGAGATAATACTCTCGGCTTGTGTATCATTGAGATGTTTTACAGGAACTTAGACCCACACCAGATGGGTTGCTTCTGACAGCCAGCACATAGACCCCAGACTGGATGGAGACAGAAGACTGATAGCTAAGATTCCTTAAATAATCTCCTGGCACCTCACCACTGACCAGTCAGAAGAATGGGCACATGCTGATCACACAACCTGCAACCCTTTCCCTAATTTTGCCTTTAAAAGCCCTTGCTCTAAGTCAATGGCAAGTTCGGGAGCTTGAGCATTACTGCCAGTTCTCCTTGCATGGCGCCCCGCAATAAACAAACACTCCCTTCTTTTCACTGCATCCTGTGGCAGTGTTTGGCTTTGCTGCCTACCAAGTGAGCGGACCCAGGTGTGTTTGGTTTGATAACAATGCTAGGAATTTGTCTTCTTAGTCATTTAGAGTCATTTGTCTATCCTTACATTATTTTCAAAACTTGAAATAAAGTAACCATTAGTGAGCCTAAAAATGTTAGCATGTCACCCAAATACTTACCTTTCTTTGGAGTCCTTAATGTAAGTGTCAATGAGGAGACTATACATTTCAGAATGTATGTTTTCCATGGCAATTTGGAAACCATAGAAACAGCGGGCTTCTGTAATCTGCACTTCTTGGCTAAACCGCTCCACCTAGTGGTACAACACACCACAGCTCAGCTTAAGGAAAATCTACCAGGCAGCAAATTCAGCCAATGGACACCAGCTACACCACATTCCCTTTTCGGTACCATTATAAGGTTTGTTTCTATATATATTTAATACAATTCTTCAGAGTTCTGTGGTAAAGCTGGACATTCTATGCCATATGCTCGATTCACAGGATCAGAAAACAGATAATCCGCATTTGTAGGGTTTCTGTGAACATTTATTGATTCATTCTTTCATAACTCACTGCATGAAGAATCCACTCACAGTAAAATATTTATGCAACCAAATTATTAAACCAGCAAGTCACAAAAAAGGAGAGTGATGTGATCACCACAAGGTGTAAACCTTGTTCTACCACTTAGCACTGTCTCTGAGCTTCTCTACAGTCGGCGGGAGGGGGGGGGAATACCATAAGGAAGAAATAACTACAAACTGTATTATAAAACAGCAAATGCCATGTAATATAAATACTAGCTTACAGATGTAGATACATTCAGTAAGGACAAATGTACAAGATGTGTGAAAGAGAATTAGTTCTCCCTTAAGTCCTGAAGTAAGTGAAAGCAGATGTTTTTTGGGAACTTACCAAGTTTTCATTCACTATGCCATCACTTGCTGCAAAGAAAGCCAGAACGTGAGATATAAAATATCTCTCCTCAGGCTTCAGGGCTTCCCAGTGCTGAATGTCTTTAGAAAGATCCACCTGAGTGTAACAACACAAGGGATTCAAGCATCGACCTCACACATGCACAGTTCTTAACCTCGCGCCTACTAGCACCACTTGGTAAGTATGCCCCTTAGGTACAGAGTTCCCTTTGCCAGTAAGAGCCAACACTCTCAGGGGGCAGCCATTCCCCAAGAGGGACAAGAAGAGTGTAAAGTATCTTTCTAACAAGTCATGAGCACTACTGCAGGGTCTTCCTCTAGAGGTGGGGGCCGCGCTGAACCCTTACGTCCCCATGTCCTGCCCGATTTACCTCCTCAGCTGTCCAAAAGGAAGCCTCCGCTTTCTTATACATCTGCCAAATATCATGATATTCAATAGGAAAGACGACAAAACGGCGAGGGTTTTCTCTCAGGAGTGGTTCATCCTCCACGCTGGGGGCAAGTATCCTGGTTTTCTGCTGGGGAGAAAGTAATGAAAATGTTAAGTACAGGGCCAAACATCTGGAATTGCCTTTTTCCCCAGGCCAAACGCGTTCAGCTATTGGCAAGCTCATGTGATTCAATACTTAAGTGTCAGCTGTCGTATATATACTCCACACGTAACATAACAGAAAGGCAACAGAGAGACTGCAGGAAATATGCCGGTGTAAAGTAGGAAATGACAGGGAGAGAAACGCTTTGGCGGGAAAGGAGCGCGGGCTAGGGTTTGAACCAGCGGGGCAGACAATGAGGCTTTGGCGCCAAGCGCCGGCGGGCGCCCCTTACACCCTCCGCCCGCCTGCTCACCGGCTCGGGGGAGTCCTGGAAGATCCTCCTGGCGGTCTTGCTGGCCAGCACGCGGGTCCCGCTGAGGGCCGGGGGCTGCGGGAGACGCGCGGTGAGGGGCTTGCCCGAGTCCCACAGGCACCCGCCGCCCCGCCCCGGCAGGCCGACGTGCGCTCACCGTGTTCTCCTTGTCCGCCAGGCTCAGCCCCTTCAGAGGCGACAGCTGGACCTGCTGCTGATGCTGCGGGTCCACGATGGTGGCGAGCGGGACACGGACGGAGAGCATGGCGGCTGCGAGCTGAAGCGGTAAGCGGAGCGCGAGTCAAGGACGCCCTCGCCTCCCAGCCGGGCTTTTAAAGCCCCGCGGGCCTGCGAGAGCGGTGGGCGGGGCTGCGCAGTGGGCGTGCCCCGGCATCGCTTTCCCATTGGATGCGCCCGGGGCCGCCGGGTGTCGGAGATTCAAGAGCAGCGCGGGAGCCCCTGCAGCCCGCCTTCCAGGGACCCCCAGAGCTTCGAGGGCCGCTGGCCCGACCGGGGTCGCCGCTGTCCCACGGACCCCTGTGGGACCCACCGCACAGAGGTTGCAGCCTCCGCCCGTCTCGGTGGGCCCTGGCGCGCGCGTTCACTCGCTAGTCCGGGAAGTGTTTGGGATTGAATGAGGCAACGCGATTGGAGCCCGCCCGCCCGCGAGCGGGAGAGGATTCCCCCACCCCCAGAGCCCCACCCCGAAAACGTCTCTCCTCTGAACCTTTTTCGCGAGTCCGGGCAATGGTTCTGCAAATGAGGTTGGTGCAAATGCCTGTAAAACGCCCCTGGTGCGAAGAAAACGCGTTGCGACCATTTACATATGTGTACCTGAATGGGGATGCAAGGTCTCTGAGATCAAGCAAATCTGTAGGGTGGCTGGCGAGCCTAAAGGTTAGAGCTGCTGGCTACTGAGTTCCGCAGTGCAGGCATATCACCTGGCTTAAAGATTCGGTGCCCTCGTTGGTAAAATGGGACTTGTAGCCTTACCTAACCTGTGAGATTATTAATAAAATGAGAGTATTGAATGAGGTAATTCATGTAAAATACGCAGTCCTGTGTAAACCTTCAAGTTGACTAAAAGACAGAAAGAGGGCCTTTGATGCAGTTTCCCACTGAAACTGTGTCTGCTCTCCGGCCAGTCTTCTGTATCAACATTGTTGTAAGAGCAAAAATTCTGAAAGTTCAGAGTGATTGAAAAACTAGGAATTCATCTACTGTATATTGGGCATTAAATTGCCTGAAGAAGAGATTGAAAACCTCTATTGGGATGAGGGTGAAGACGTGAATTTAATAAGTTTTCATTTCACTTTATATTTGGATTTTCATATTTGCCAGACATTTGCCCTGCAAATGGCAAAATGCCAGAAATGAATGAAGAGAAAGAAATGTTAACATCCAAGAAAGAAATGGTTAATCTGGGAAAGCTCCAACAGCTGCAAACACTCAGGGTTGTCACTAAGAGCTACACTGGACTTTTTTAGTCTTTTCTGGATAGAATACCTTAAAGAGGTTAGGTGTAGCGTCTGTTTCCTCCATTTCTTAAATACTACATACTGTATTTAGAATATTCTCCAGTCTGAGGAAGATCACTGAGTCACATCTCTTAGAAAATGCAACTTTAGTCCAACATCATTAGTTTTAAATCACGTCCCAGTCAATGTTACATCAGCGTCCACCCCAGGAAGTGGATATTTTCATTGATAATTTTATGATTGACAAAGCCATTTATCACATCTAACAAAATTATCAGTGATCCCTTGGTATCCTCTAGTACCCAATTCACATTCCAATTTCGTGCAATCAACACCCCAAGCGATCCTTTCTCAGGCTCCACGCGCTTTTTATCTCCTGTTATACTCTATATGTACAGGAACCATAATGTGTAACTACTCTGAGCTAGCTTTAGTTTCACTTTTCTCTAACACAAGCTTTGTGGAAAACTTGGAAAGACGAGTAGCACCACGAGGCAGGGGCTAGAGTTGCCTTCCTTGCTGCTCGCCGCCTCCCGGTTGAGTAACTGGCACTTTCCGGCCGGCCCCCGCTCTCGCTTTACTAAGGAGTCGGCGGCTGCAGAAAGCTTTGTGGCCCCGGCCGGGCCTGGCTTCTGGTCCTCAGTGTCCCCTTTCGCAGGGACCAGAGACGGGTGCGCCCGGCCAGACTCTGTGACCGAGTGACCCTGAGGTCACCAGCCAGCTGACAAGCCCGCAGCCGGAATCTTCTGGGAAGTTCCGCGCCCGCTTTGAAGTCTGCTCCCCGATTGGTCCGCAGCAGGGAGGCTCCGCCCCAGCCCCCGATAGGCTGTTCCTTCAAAGCTTCGGGCTCCCACACCTCCCACCGGAAGGCCCCGCCCCTATTTCCGCGGCCCGCGCTGCGGCGCCCAAGTTCAGTCATCCGTCAGGGCCAGCAAGGTGGCCTCTGAGGGTCCCGCCCCCGCCCCCAGGCAGAGAAACCGAGGTCCAGCGAGTTTAAGTGATTTTCCAAAACCACTCGTCACTCAGTATACCAGACACTGTGCTAGAGATTGTCATAGTAATACTAGTGACAACCCCACAGCCACTGGGCACCTGGACCAGGTAATTTACACTTTAAATCCAGAAAACGGAGATATTTTTGCCCTTGTTCTTCAGGTGAGGAAACTAAGGCCTGAGAGGCAAGGAGACTGCCCAAGGCCACACAGCTCCTCATACTTACCAGCTAGACCTTTTCCCTCCCATCTTCTTATCAAAGATGTTTTCAATATACAGAAAAATGGAAAGAATTTCAGTGTTCACCCACCTCCACCTACCATTCAACAGCAGTTTCCATTTTGACATATTTGCTTAAATCCCTCTATGGGTGTATGAGGCTTCTGTTTTCTGGATCATTTGAAAATGATTTGCAGGTACTATGACACTTCACCCCCAGGTATTTTGGCATATTTCATTATAAAACTCCCCAAAATAAGGAAATTCTCCAACACATCCACTGTACCATATTCAAACCTAAGAAAACTAGCATTCATTCTCTAATATCACTAGGTATCTCTAATACCTAATTCTAGGTAATAAAATTTTCCCAGATGTAGCAAATATCTTTTATTTTGACACAGGATCCAATTAAGTGCATGTGTTACATTTGGTTATTACACTTTTTAGTCTTTTTTCATTAGAAGAAGTCCTCCACTTTTTTCTGCCATGACATTGACTTTTTAAAGTTCCGGCCAGTTTCCTTGTAGGATACCGGACGTTCTGCATTTACCTGATTGTGTCTTCATAGTGTCATTTAACTTGTTTTTCTAACCCCTGTATTTACTACAAACTGGAAGTTAGATCTAAAGGCTTCATTATTTTTTTTACTGTGGTAAAATATACTTAAACTAAAATTTACCATTTGAAGCATTTTCAAGTGTGCAATTAAGGGGCATTAAGTACATTACAACATTGTGCATCCATCACCACCTTCTGTCTCCAAACATTTTCATCATCTCATACTGAAACTCTGTCCCCATTAAACACTAGTTCCCCAGTTCCTCCCACCCATCAACCTCTCATAACCACACTTTCTGTCTCTATAAATCTGACTCGTCTAAGTACCTCATATAAGTGGAATCATACAATAGTTGTCTTTTGTATCTGGCTTATTTCACTTAACATAAGGTCTTCAAGTTTCATCCATGTTGTAGCATGTGTCAGAATTTCATTCCTTTTTAAGGGTGTATAATACTCCATGTGTGTATAGATCACATTTTGTTCATGAGGTTTCCTTTCTGCAACCCATCTCTTCCTTCCCTCCCCCAGCTGCCCCTTACCTTCCTGGAGTTCTTTTTTTCCCAAGGGCAAGGTCAGCCCTCTTCACAACCATGAGCTACTCCCTCTGTGGCTCCAGAGCACCTCCTTCCTCTTTCTGAACTTGGTATTCTCCTTTCAGACCTTCAGGGTGCTTAAGGAAAATGCGTTGGTGGGGAGCGGGAAGATGGAAGGGGTCATCCCAAGCTTGACTTGTTAGCTGTGGAATTTTAAAAGGGAGTTGGTGGGCTGAGGGGGAAGTTACTGAGGCTCCCTCTGCCCTCGGTACATCTGCCTACCCCCAGAAAAACTGCCAAGGGACCATCCACTCTGCACATCTTTGAAATCTCCCCGCACACCTCAGCTTACAGGGGGAGGTTAGAGGCTTTCCCTCCCTCTTTGTGCGCCTTTCCTGGCAGCCCCTGCTCTCGTCGTCCTGCTCCCAGGTCACGTACCTCCCCTGAAGGCTGCGTTTCTGCCCCTTCCAGGCTTGGTCTGAATGGGACTATTTCCCATGGATTGATTTAGAAAGGTAAGAAAAATAAACAAGACTGTAAGGCCACGATTTTGCAGGCCCAGGGTAAGTTTATTTCTCATGACAGAACTCAGCTTCCTATTGTTTATTATTGAATAATTTCTTCAATAGAAGAAGGCCACAATATTGACTTATAAGTACAATGGTATGTGTGTCCATGTGTATGTTTTGGGGAATGGTGGGGCAGCCAGCTTTACATGTTATTCTGAACTGGCAGACAGAGAACCACCTGTGCAAATGAGTTTGCAAATAGGATGCAAATCCTGAGTAGGGTGGGTTGGGGAGAGGGAGGGGGGAAGGGCAAAGTCACCTTCAGCACAGATATGAGAGAGAGGCCACTGTCACAACCCAGGCAGTTCAGGTACATAACCCTAGGAGGGGGAGAAGCAAAGCCCAGGTACGTCAGTCCACAAAGCCCTGATGATGCACTTCTAGACAGTCAGCCACTTTTAGACGAGATCTGTGTGGTGGAAAGGACCAGCAGGGGATTCCCATGCACTTGTTATTTATTAAAGGACCTCGGACCTGTCACTTGATATTTCTGAGCCTGTTGCTTTACTGATAAAATGGGTGTGATAACTCCTACCTCACGGGGTTTAATCCAAGGATGAAATGGGTAGAAACACAGATTCTGTCCTTTCCCTTTAGTTAGCCTAGCCGAGCTCTCTCAGTCTCTTGAAATATTACACTTTAGCTAGTCCAGTGTGTTTTTCCAGGCCGAGCCAGTTAGCCACAGCCCTGGACCACAACTCCAGCTCCTCTGTCCCCATCTCTTCCTGTCTCCTTCCCATCACCACCAGGGTATTCTTCAGTATGAGTGAGCATAGCAGAGGCAGCACTTCCCAACTGTTAACCTTAAAAATAAAATCATTATTTTACTGGCAAAAATGGGTCTATTCGTGAATAGCAGCAAAGTGTAATTCAGGACATGCAAACTACAGCAAAACTGTAAGCATGGCCAGAGAACAAAGGAGGGGACCCCTCTTTTACAGGAAAAAGGCCTAGCTGGGAGGGTAGTTCT